GGGGCCCAGAGGCCCCCGAGGGCCTGCGGGCCCAGCCTCTGGCCTCAGAGTATTTCCTGGAGGAGGTAACAAGCAGATTTAAAGAGAAGCCTCCGTCACATCTACTTTTTGTTAATATTTGCAAGTGTTGCTGCTGAGCCTTCAAGGGGTGCCCCCATCCACCTGGCGCCCTGTGAGAAGGGGCTGCGGGTGCAGAAAGGGCAGCGCGGCCGCACAGCGCGGCGCCGAACTGCACTCCGTGTTGACGCCCCCAGCTGTGAGCGTGGAGCCTACGGCGTTTCCTTCCCCTCTCCCGGCTGTGAGCATGGAGCCTACAGTGTTTCCTTCACCTCTCCCGGCTTCCCCTCTTCTGCCGGTGGGAATTTCTGGGAATGGGGCAGCAAGGATGGGCAAAGGAGCGGCCTTGACTCCTGCCACAGCTAGCTCTGGCTGTGAGTAACAGCCATGGGCTTCACTCACCCCTGGCTTCCTAGCGAAAGGTGGAAAAATGTTGAAGGAGGCTGGGAGTCCGTCCTACACGGCAGTTTTCTCCATAACCCATCCCAGGTCACAGAGGCAGAAATTCCCACCAGAAGTGGTATTTCTTCGAGGATGCAGCTTCCCAGGGCACAGCGCTAGGCAAGCAGGGAAACCTCACAGGAGGCTGGAGGCTGAGCTGCAGAAGCCTAGCAGGGTTCAGGGTCATGCTGTGGGCCACATTATCCCCCACATTTCTGCTAGGAAACGGTTTGCAAATTTTGTCTCCCCAATTGGTTGTCTGCATTGCAAGCAAGTTCCTTAGGAGACTTTTACTCAGCATCTGATAAAACAGCTTCCTGTTCCCCAATAGTTGTTCCTTACATACTCATGCAATATCATAAATAATAATGCTAGGGAAGAAAGAAGGTTTTTCTCCAGCCTTTCTTTCCACCCTCCCCATGTGCTGACATTCACCAAGCCAGATATTATCATAAAAATACTCCTGAGGAAAAGGTTTTAGTAATTTAGAGAGCAGGTTTTTATAAACCACACAGGTTCAATAAGCAGATCCTTGACAGGACGGTTCAGCTTGCCTGAGAGATCCCAACATCTCTCGGAAAGGCTCCTTTTCTGCTCCTGCCCCTGCTACCTGAACCCCGCTACTGCATCTCTGAAATCTCCCCTTTCCTCAGGCACCCCATGTATTTCTGATCCCCCCAAGCAGCACTCAGCTCACTGCGTTCATGCAACGCGCGTTCAGATACGCCAGCTCTGCAACAGCCTCTGCTCTGGCACGGTTATATTTAGCTAGAAGGGAAACGTCTATGAGAGAAGAGCATGGGAGGAGAAGGGAAACCCACGTGTGTCCTTTCACTAATGCCTTGCTTTGGGGACAATGATAATGCATCTCTCCACATTTAGATCTAAAAGCACTTCAGACACTGGTGGGCAAATACTAGCGGCCCCTTTTACAAAAAGGCTTAAGGTCGGATTTTCAAAGGAGTTATCCCCCTCCCACTGGATTTCCCGGAGGCCTGGATGTGTAATTCCCAGAGGCTGCCTTGAATCCCAGCCTGAGATGTACCCAAAGCTCAGAGCAAGGCAACAGCAGAGCTCTGAATCCAAATTCCTCCCTCCCTTCCCAGAACGGCAAGTGTTCACACGCGTCTGCAAAACCAGTGTCTCCATGGGGCAGTCCGGCGCCCAGGTCACGCTGCCCCAGCTAGTGGCCGAAGGGCTGCTAACCTCAAAACGTGGCCAGAGGGAGGGAAAAATAAAATACAAATGAAATATATCTTGTGATACTACTAAAACAGCTTCTTGCATCATTCGGTAAGTATGGAACAAGTAAGATGATAATACAGAAACGTATTTGGTCAAGGCCTAAGCAATCAATATCTTTTTCTTTTGATAAAATACATTCTATATTAATGCTCAGTCACAATTAATGCACATGTAAACTAAAATCTGCTATGGATCAAACCGCAGCGTAATGCTGCCTCGCAGAGCTTCGGTTCCAACACGTTCAGCTGCCGGCGACGCGACGGGAGCCAAGAGCTCTTTGCAGGACCAAACCTCGCGGAGGGCCTGGTCCTGCAGCCCTCGCTTGAGGCACCCCCTTGCTCTCTTCAGCAGGGCTGTTGCATGAGTGGGGGCTGCAGAAGGATCCCCCCCGGGCCATGGAGCACTTCTGCTGTGGAAATCACTCAAGTGGCACATGGCATTCCGAAAACAAAAAAGAGTTAATTAATACAGAAAATAATTTATCTACATAATTTACAGCTTTATGTTTGCTTACAACCATATTAATGCTCAACCGCATCATTTACACATCAATCAAAACGCAGGCAAAGGTAGCAAAGTGCAGTATATATTATAATCTGTGTGCAATTACTAAGCACTGGATCTCCTAA